TTAAAATTTAAATTAAATATTAATATAAAAATTATTAAATAAAAGAATAATAAAGATTAGTAATTTTAATATAATAATTAATTAAAATAAATATATTATAATTGATTAGAAATAAAATAATTTAAATAAATTCAAAAATAAATTATAATATATATATAAACTATAAAAATAAACAATTAAAAATTAAATAATATTAAAATTATAATTAGTAATATATTTTATATAAATATTATAAATAAGTTTAATATAACAATATTTGTTTTTGGTACGGTCAATTAATTTTGTAACGTATTTATTACGTATGGTAAAAATTTTTCGAAGATAATCGCGATTGGGGAAATCAGTAACAATTTGAGCTGTGCACGAGCATCAGTATAATTTAGCTTCTCTAGTGGCTTGTGTAACCTGGGTGTTTATTTATGGCTCCCTTTTTGGGTTATTTTGGGATGTTTGGTCCTTTTGGAGACATTTGTCTGCTATTTTGTCAAGTGAACTGTGATATCTTCGTTCAATTGTATGTACCTAGAGATTCTTCGGGATAAATATGATATTACTATTTCCTGTAATCATACCTAAATCATGTTGTAGCTCTTATTGCCAACTAAATAACAATGGAACCAATAATATGACGCTTACAATTATAATTGGCAAAGAAAGAGGAGAGCAAAATCTGATGGATCAATCGCACGTGTGATCATGAGTTTAGACCAAAATAAAATAATAAGAACATATCAATTGTGATGTATTGTGTGATGTTTGCGATATACTACCTCTTGGCCCTCGCTTCACCAGCGATAGCTGGTGAGGACGAGGGAGTTTGTCAGGTGCGGTATCTTGATACCCATTGCTGCAAAAGACGGAGACTTCATCATCGGAGGAATGTCCGGGATAGGCCAGTCGAGTACACAGACGATGAATAACGGCACTAAAATACCATTCAAACTTGCTCTTACTCTGGATTGCAGAGTGAACATCCAGAAGGCCATCGCCCTTAGGATGGTAATAGACAAGGAAATGAAAGATTCAAGAGGGAATTTCAACAAGACACTGCTTACGAGATGTATACACTTGCATGAGTTCACTTTCACAGCCAGAACCTCAACAGCACTTGCTAAGAACAAGAAGGTCATAGGAGTTTCTGGAGTCGACAAGAAAGATTATATCAAAGGATCTGCCCTTGCACACTTCATTCCCACATTCCCAACATTCGTCTACATGTTTTTTAATGATTATGAGTTGATGACAGCTAGTACAGATCCAACTCTATTTTCCATGATCGACACGGAATTCAAAGAAGCGGAAATAACCATTCGATTCTTAGAAAGATGGGTTATCGATATATGGACATATGGGACCACAAATATTCTAAAGATATGGCCGAGCACATATACAACAGCTACGTTAAGAAAAGAGGATGTGGACGAATAACTGATGTCACATACAAAGAACACATTCCAAGGATAAAGCAAACCTACAATGAAACTGGCGGAACTCCTTCACGGGTTCAACTCATTCTCCAAAATTCTATGACAACAACAAGAACGATGCTAAAAAAATGTTGGTAACCCGAGGATTCAGAGATAAGATCTACATAACTTGATTATCTAACGGGCGATTAAGTGAGCTGGAACAACTACACAAATCCTCACACCTCTGGAGACAATTACGCTTATACCTTCAACTACCAGATCTCCACAATATTAAAATGGAACAAACAGGTAAAAGATTTAAACAAAGAGTGAGACAGGTGACAAACGAGACTACATCGTCACATCTATAGAAATGTAACAGAGTTACAGAGTCCAAAGAATCAGTCGAGCCAAAGAAGTGCAACTTACCATTGGATTTCCCTATATGGTTGGAGGAGTTGAGCCGAATTCCTAGAATCTCTTCAGCCATTCTGGCAAAAAAATATCAACCCAAAAGATGACTGTTTGATGGACTACAGAACAGAGCTGTTCGAAGAAATTTCCAATGAGAATAGAACGTTGAATGTTACTCTGGAAAAGAAGTAACAATATCCCATCAGATGTTCAACAAGACAGTCAACATTGGCTACAAGATCGGGATTACAAACAAAACAACACTTCAGCACACTCGGAAGGGCATTTTTTGACCGAATCGAAGTCACTGACAATAATCTTTTAGAAAGCATATCTGTCTACAACAAAACCTGTTCGCATACCTGCAAGCCAGGCAGCCATCGCCTTTTTGCGCGAGTATCAAACATATGCCTTGCTGTTGGACCTGTGAACCTTGCAAGCTTAACCAATATAGCATAGAAAATAACACCAATTTGTGCAAAGCTGCGATCCTCTACGTCGCCATTGAAATCACACACTGAGTCTGAGCCCAGAAATATATATCAGGCCAAATTCAACAACATTTATTGTGGGAGCTTCAGATAGGCCACTTGTATGTCAATGTTCATTGCTTTTGGTATGTCAATCTTTAGAAATGAAGGATGGACAGTAATCAAGCTTCCGACCCAGGCTATCTCTACATGTCTTACTTGGTTGCTGACGGGTAATCCTACGGCTGCTGACTCCTCTTCTCAAACCATCGACCGAATACTTGCTCACGGAGTATTACTACTCCTTCGCAGTTTTGCTAATTTGATATCTACCAACTTTGCTTTATAATGCTGAAGGTTTACGACATTCTGCTGCTTGCCCAAAATTTTTCGGCACCAAAGTTAGGTGTGTTCCTTAAAAAAACAGGCCAGACTGCCTTAACCTTGCGCACCCTGTCGATAACAGTCATCATCCTTCTCATGACAGCACTCCGGAGGTGGCCCACTGGGCCTTTTAAGAAGGTACCAAGAAGAGTCTCACAGACCCTGTACCTAACGGTACCAGCATGAATAGCAAGACCCTGATAATTCAATAGTTTTTGCCAGGTCTAATTCGTCCTCATTACCCTGTTCCTGGCATTTAAGATGAGAAGTTTCCTCACAACTACAGAGAGTCCCTCAACATATTTTGTGCCACATTGTGGTGCTGGTTTGCTCCATCATGTTCCTGGCAGGCTACGGTTTTTCTCCTGCAGAAGTTCGAGCTATCCTGCGTGCTGCAGTGATCTTTATCATCTCGACAGCTTTCCTCTTCTGCATCTTCATCCCAAAGATCCTCATCCTTATGGACAAGCAAATAAATATCGAGGAGGAAAGAGCAAAGATTCGTGAGCGTGTAAGGAAGTTTTCAGCTGTATCTGGTCAAAAATTTGGCAACGCTGCGAGGAAAATCATGAAACAGCAAAAAGAGGCCAAACTTACAACAAACATTCAAGAATAGAGTGCTGCAGTGTGACAAGGACATCAAACTCACGAGGATGCTGTTCGAAGTCAAACATTTATGTTAAGTAAAATCACTGAGATAACTTTTCTCAACTCCCACCATGCGTCAACATAAGACCTATTCTATTCTTCTCGTAGTGTATTGACATATAATGACAATTGATTCTGGTAGGTGTTAGTATTGCTACTGTCTATTGCGTTTTTACCTGATATAAAAGAGAATATATCTCATTTCATAATCCTGGGATAAAATTCGAGAATATTTTTATATAAAACTGTCTTGAGTTCTTTGAATGTTCTGACACTGAAAAAATTGTAAATTCTGTCCGTGATTTTAAGTTAGTTCTTGTTAATCTTGCTTCTTTGCTTAACTTCTTTTTTAATAGAAAACACAAACTTATCTTATTGATTAAGAAATATTAACAGTAACAACAATCTTAAGAAGTATTCCTATACTGCATGTGGATTGTGGGATGCTATTATATCATTCCAGAGGTCTAATTTAGACTTAATGTTTGTTAATGGTTTAACGTGTTTGGTTGAACGTAACTTTTTGTTTGATACTGATAGGAGTCGTTCGCATATTACGTAATCTCTGAGGGGTCAGGGGGGACGGGGTTTCTAATTGATAGTGTCGACTCTTGTAATTTTGACCACAGTTTGATCAGTAGCTAATCGTAAAACTGCTTACGGGATGGGGGGGGGGGGGGGGTTGTGGGGGGGGGGGTAAAATTCGTCCAAAAAGTGATAACGTAAATTTTGAAACGAACCCCTCAAACGAAAAGCAGCACTTGTCATAAATGTTTGAAACCAAATATCTTACCTATATTGAGAGGATGAATTCTCTCCATGACCGTTTTTTTTAGATTTTCAGAAATGTCCGAGAAGACAATGGAAATTGTAAAAACCGTTGAGAAACGACGATATGAATTCTCTCAAGATCAAAAAGATTTCAAAAATTATTATCCATACTAGATTATTCGGTAATATTCAAAATACAAATTTCGACGTTTACAATGATAAAATGATTCCTGGAAATAGTAGATGTCGAAACTGTCAGAAGAAATTTGAATAATACAGACTACAGCGAACGAAAGCGACGGAGAGGAAACTGTCTCCACAACTTCCTTGGAGCATAGTCCCAGCTATTCCCAAATTTAATTATTTAGTTAGAAGTCAATATTTCCAGACTACTACCTCTCTGTCAATGACATATTCGACAAACCAACACAAACATCACAACAATTGACAATTTTCGGTCGCAAACCGCACCAAACGCTTAATTGTGCCCGGAAGAGCTGGTCAAAACCGGGTGACTTAAAGTATTACTCAATATGCATGCTCTCACGTTTTTAACTTTTCCAAACCCTGCTGGCATTTAAGCGTATCATTTTGACTCATATACTCATCTTACAAACCATCCCTCCAACCCATCACCTCTGATTTCACCGGCAAACCTTCCCTCAAGGTGCCTCACCCCAAGGTAGGCAGCATCTCAATGCTAATCCCTCTCGTGGCTATCTTGGCCCACCTCTCCTTTAAAAAAAAAAAAAAAAAAAAGAAAAAAAAAAAAGCGAACGAAATAAAAAAAAAAAAAATAAACATTCAAAATCTAGTTTCATTGTGTTCAAAAAATCAGACATGCAAATTGCAAACGATCGATGTTAAATGTTAAAGTTGACATGAACAAATGAGTATGACTCACCCGTGATGTGACGTTTCCAGTATTTTGTCGTAAATCTCTACATTGTAGGGTGATCTGTCTGTGCAAGCAGCACCAAACCATCTCACTAATGAAGATGAATACAGAATAATGTTTATCACTCCCTATCACACCCCTTGTAAAAACTCTTACGTTCTGGACCGAAGAGAAGGTCTCTTACTGTGTACAGAAGAGTACAGATGGTACTATACGTACTAGAGTCTGATCTAGCTACAGCTATCAATGTGGGTACGCGCGTGCTCCGCGCGCGCGCGCAAACCATCAAGCAAATGACCAACACTAAGTTATTTTTAACATACATTTAAACAATGTCAGCTAGTAAAAAGATGCAATTTCAGGATGCCTTGCCAGCAAAATAAACAGGAGAATTTTATTAGGTTCAGAAGCCGTAGCAACTGTTTGGAAGTTGGTGCCTCAGTTACATCTTGCAATTACTATACGCTGAGTGAAACAGATTATTTTTTGAATTCCCAGTAAGTACAAACATGAATTTAACAGAACTACCTCACAATCGTAAGATCGATATAGATGCAGTGAAATAACAAAAAGAAATCATTATAATTTTACTCTTAATTCATAAAGTTAACATTATTCAAATACCCATTCGTTATCAGTTGGACGCCGAACTAGTCAAGCCGAGGATATACAGTCTCATTGCAATCGACTTCCAGTTTTAAATAATTAAGGATGACTCGACCCACAATCAGCAAAATAAACAAGAATTGTTGATTCTGTCATCAAGCGAATAATTTAGGCTACTACTTCAATACACAGGTAAGTCACATTCAGAATTTAGGCCATGCTGCTACATCACAGTTCGTCCTCAGAATAAAATAATTACTCTATAACAACGACATGTATCAATAAATTCTACGATTAAAACGTTATCTTTTTTGACTGTATTAATGTATCATTTAATACAGCTTCTTCGGTAAAATCACACAATATATTCTCTGTAAAACTTCCACGAATAGACAGAGGTTTAGTCAGGAGCTCTCTCAATAATTAGTTTGGAAAGAGGGCGGACCAGGATCCTCTGCAGCAACAGTCTCAGACAGCTCTCCCCCGACATCATCACAACTTCCATCAGAAGTAGCTAGCATGCAGTGCTGTTTTGAGAGAATACACTCGCCTCCTTCATCCGGCTCTATCACGTACACGTACAAGTACGAGTCTGAACTTGCAACAAGAAGTTTGCCGGTGGTCGTGAGGGCGCACACGCTGCGCAAACCGGGCGAAGGGAGTTTAACGTGCGCAAACGCCCGTCCCTGCGTGAAGACGTCCGTCATTTGCGAAGGTAGGTACGAAGCAGTGCTGACGAGTGCCTTGCCCAGGTACTGACCCCACGTCTGAGACTCTGGTGCGGGGGCGGCAGTGCTCTCTGGAGCACCTGTGTTGTCCAGCTTGAAGATATGAATTGTTTCTGTATTGCTGGATGCTGACAAATACTTGTCGTCAGGACTGAATGATAATGAGTAAATAGCTGCACACCGCTTGATACCCCGTCTCAGCTCGTACAACTTGTTCCCACTGGGTATACTGAATATCCTGATAACAGTCCCTTTCTCTGAAGCTGTTGCTAACAAGGAACCTGACGAGTTGAAGGACAGCGCCGCAAGAGGCGCATCATGCGCTGGTATCATGGTCACAGCGTCCAGATTGAGGGTATCAAACACTTGCACTTCCCCGATCTGCCCAGATCCGGGGTACGCTAAGTAAGAGTTGTCAGAGTTTATACTGAGTGCTATGATGCCTTTAGGGTTGGCTGGCGTGTCTCTTATTGTGTGGAGAACCTGTCGGAAATAAGTTATGAGAGTTGATTCAATTACAACCTAATATTTCCTGGTATTTACAGTAGGGTACGTTTACCGTCATCGTGCAATTTGTCTCACAATTGTATCTAATGATTTAATTCAACAGCCGTGCAGTGTGCCTAATTATATAATTAGGAAGCAAACAGCGAAGCAATTACCAAACTTACCTTCATATCTTTGATGTTATGAATGTAGAGTATTTCCTCCAGGACAACGAGCAATCGGGCTCGGTTTAGTTTAACCGCCAGGATGGTGTTAGGGTAACAGTAGTTGCAAATTTCCGTCCCCTGAGACAATGTTGTTAATTAAGTCAATGAGTAACTGAAGTACTTGATTTAATTGAACAGTTTCACGATATAACAGTTTAAATAACATTAGAAGGGTTAAAAGGGGGTTAGCACTTAGCACGAACCTTCTTAAAGTGGCAGACTTTTAGTTTACGAGGAGCTGAGAGGGATACCATTGCGATGAGAGAGGAGGAAAAGAGCCGTTCTACTATACACACGTCCTCACCTGCGTAATGTGAGGATTTTAGGTGTAGCACACGTGCAACTTGTGTGTATACTTATAAATACAATTACATCCGTACTTATCACCTGATGCGTTAAAAATTATGAGGTCTGCGTAACAAACTATGAGGTATGAATGACCGGCATATTTTCATCACTATGTTGGAGTCAGAAAATCTAATTAGGCAAAATTTATGCAATTTATTTACACAAAATTATTTTTACTGTAAAGAATACGTCATACTTTGCTACGAGTACGTCACTGATTCTAAAATCTAAACGTTATAACTTACACCGAGCAACACAAGGCAACTATCATTATCAATAAGATTTAAGATATGACGATATTTCGTGACAATTGCTTAAGTTTTTGTGCAATTGTGATAGGCTGAAAAATGATAACGAGTAATTTTTAATTGCAATATAAGGATGGAATGTGGCTGCTATTAAGCGGAAATATCTTACTGAACAGATGTTTCATTGTTTGGTGTCATATAATCTATTCGATCAGAGCAGATAGAGGATCAAGTGATACCATTGCCTCACCATGTATATGTTAGAACTTGTGCTCATTATGCGCTTTATCGGCTGGTGTGTAACTATGATTAATTTCTTCGTTTCAACACCGTCAAACACATCATGGAATTAACCGGATAACATGTTAAGCTGCCTCCAAATCAGTACATCCTCCCAGAAACTCGCATATTGTGTGTGCTGTGATGGAAACTGAATTACCGAACTGTACCTCAATTTCAGATCCTAATTCCAACACTTATATTGAGGAGATCCCAATCCTAAATCTAATCACCTCACCACAAAACAGTAGTAATTGTAATGTTGAGAGTTCTTCACAATACACAATACACAATACACAATACACAATACACAATACACAATACCAATGTCTGGCACTCTACCAATAAACACTAATAACATACACATGACCGTGTAGTTTGGTTACAGTTCAGGCTAGTGAGTAGTGACTGAGCGAGTGTTTTTATTGTTCTACACAGGTAGTTTCCATGGTAACAACAACATTGCACACCGAGAGAGTATAATATCATGTGTATCTTGTGACCAACTAATTGTAACACGAGCGTTAGTTACAGAACATTGCTCAATTATGTGATACGCTGTATATGTATATTGTATACTAAACGGTATGCATTATACGTTGAAAACTATACGCTGTACACACTATATTTATGACGATAACAATGTTCCTCGAGGTAAATTACACTATTAAACGTCATACTGTTTTATACATATAGTGAGCTATTTTTAGCATTATTAACATTCTAATAGTACATAAAATATCAGTATTAACGAAATCGTACAAAACTCAACACTAACTGTTTTACATTAAATTGCACATTAAAATTATTCTGAATTTATATAACACTAGTGTAACCCGGCCTACGGCCGGGATTTCACTGCCGCAGTTAAAAAGGGTAGGAGTAATTACCCGCTGAGTCAAAACCCGGATTAGGCGAGCAATTCTATTCGGAGTGCCCTCACGTATCCAATAGTATGCTTAAAAGATAGTAATTCTTAATCAATAATCAATGGAAATTAACCCTTAACACCATGCACCACACCAGCCTATCATATTTGTGAACATGCATTACATTGTCGTATGAAAGTATGAACTCTCTCTACAGTCCAAACAGACCGTTTGAGCACTCCCTCCCCTAATAAGTTTATAGTATTATATGACCATGTAATATATACGCCATGTAATATATACGCTAAATAATATTATGCAGAGAGAGAGAGAGAGCTAGCCCCGTAACTCTTGCCGTTCTTCTCAAGCCATTTTATGTAACATATTTTGTGGTACAAAACCATCAATTAAACCACTTACCACCGGCCGATTTTTATAAAATTTGCCTATTGGCTTCGTCAGAGTTTTGTCGGCACTATACCGAAAAAACCAGTCCCGTAACTATTACCGTTTTTTTTGTATAACCGTTCGGAAATTACACACAGACGATCAGACAGACAGACAGACAGACACACACACACACACACATTCTGGTGTTATTAAGGTGATACCTGTAAATTCGTAGGTCTGATCAAATCTGTCATGGCCGTTAAGAGTGAATAGTTTGTATCCAGTAGTGGTTCCCACAGCAAGGGATGTAGCATCTTGGTTGAAAGTAACAAAGTAGAGTCCAGTAGCTACCACATCACCCGCGCCTTGCAGCAAGGCCAGGTTCATAGCTACACCCAGGTGAAACAAACACAGTTAGTATGCAGATGTTATACAATCAAATATTGTAGGTATCAAATATTGTAGGTATCAAATATTGTAGGTATCAAATATTGTCAAGTAGATACAATGGCCCCTATCAAATAGCAGTTCGATGTACAGTGCAGGGGACCATGACAGACTCATTAGAAATATCATGTCATACAAGTCAAATGTATACAACATGCCTGCCAAAGTGCCAAGTACAATTAATGTATTAGTTGTGGTATGCTGTCTGTGATTTACAGTGTGTTAGCCAATTTTACAGATGGACTTGACGCTGGAATCATTCCAATTTGTATGATTTTAGATATTTTGAGATTCAGATTTGTTATAACAGCTCATTCTAAAATATGAACCAAGTTGAAGTATTAATTAAGGGAGAGTATGTACGAGAATGAAATGACATTCAGATAAAAATAAACCAATCTTGATGTATTAAAATATATTTTTAACATTGAACAATTATTTCACATCGAATATGTACTCTCACTGATAGCAAAATATCCGGTTACACCTTATTAAATCTCAACCCCGAGGATCACACCATTGAAATCAGCAAAAACTTACAAAAATTACGACTAAAGCTGTATCGTAAAACCACAAAAATGCCCAAAAAATATCAAAATTTGAGATATTTAAGTAAAATTGGGTAAAATTATTAAAAAAGTTGATACTGATAGTAGAAAATTCTTCTGAAAAAATAACAACGATCACCCATTGCGTTTATTAATTATTGGATATAATGATGGTTAAGATTATTTATTATAAGTTACTGACATGGATCAAAAACATGGTATCGAACAATATTGTGTAACTACAACTGAAACATTCTCTAATTTTCATTACGGGTATATGACCCCCAGAATATAGGTCGCTTTTTGAGCACTTAGAAACAGGTGTTAAAACTACTTCTAAGCATGTTTAGGGGTGTAAATATGTACATAATAACCCTTTAAATGTTTCTTGGGTAGTTGAAAATATTTATTAGGTTTTTAAGTGTACTTTTTTTTCACCTGTAAAAATACCATTTTTTAACAGGGCCCCCAGAATATAGGTCCAGACATCTGTTCCTAAGTTTTTCTAAAATTGTCACAGACAGTTATATGCAGTCAGAATATGTTGCTGAGACTGTATTGATGATGCCAATGGCTCCAGATACTAAATTGAAATGGTTTAGAGTATACTTAATAGCAAAAAACCAAAAACTACGGCCCCCAGAATATAGGTATGCAAAAATCGTCCTCAAATACTCCATCTTCATACATTTTGATGACGCCATCTCTTCAGCATATGTTCTTTAGCTGTTTCTCATCACTACCCCACATTCCTCAATGCTCAGGGTGACAGAGAAAATGCAGAATCTTGGTCGCTATTTTTTTTTTAAACCTATATTCTGGGGGCCATATACCCGTAATGAGTAAAATCTTTAATTTTACTAGTTAAAAAGCTTTCATGCACTCATTTAGTAGGGATCTTAACTAAATACTTAAATAAGATTGAACGAGTGTCCCTAGATATGATTGAGGGGGGGCCCGGGGCTGTTTTTATCTGTATCAATACAATGTGCACCTCAATGACTGTAAATCAGACATTTTTGGCCGCCAAATTTTTTTAAAGGCATAACTCAAAATTCTGTCCCAAAACTTAAGGACATGAGACAATTCTACGTTGATTCTGAAAATTTCATGTGAAAATATTGAAACCCTATTGAGTTCTATTGTTTTGAGCGAAGTCAGTTTTGCAAATGTCGCGAACTGAGATATGGGCAGTTTTGTTCATTTTTTGCGATTATTTGAACACAGAATCCACAGTTAGGTAGATATTGAGCTGATAATCATAGAGAATGTGTAGTATAGGCTTACCTTCCATATAAAGTTGGTTTAATTCAAAAATATTGATATTTGACCAATTTATGGACCAAAACGTTCAAATTTGGTGCGTATGCCCAAATATGGGCATATGGTTTTTATCCCATAACTCGGCCAATTTTTATCCAATTTTGATAAAACTTAATATGTGTGTTTAGGAGACTAGTAGCTACAAGTAGAGCATCCCAAAGCATGGTTTTGTGCATGTTCAGGGTTTTTGACCAACCTATATTCTGGGGGTCGTATAGACCTATATTCTGGGGGCCCGTAAAATTGTGGTGGCCATAACTTTTTTCCAAATTGTCAGTTTGCAGATGTCTCGATGAAAAGAAAGCTTAAAATAATACTTATACTCATACCAGTAGTCTTAATGGCATGTGTTGAACAGATTTTTGTCCTGACCATTTTTCGCCATATTTACCCCTCTAGAAATTGACAACATCGTTTAAATCCTTCGCTGTCATGACCAAATATACCAAAATACCTCATGTAGGTCCAAATTTCTTATCCAGAAACATTAGTTACATGTTTTACTCCAACCTAGCAGTAACAGATCCCATTAGTATCGCTTATCTTGGTTAGAACTGTATCCACTATCGTGACCTATATTTTGGGGGCCACCTATATTCTGGGGGTCATATACCCGTACACAAATAAAAAGTATTTAAGAATTACACTGTAATTAAAATATAAACTTTTTAAATAAATAATGAAATACATAAATCGCCATGCAGATAAGAATTACACAACTAGTAAAATTCCTAATGGCGTTAAGAATAACAGGACTGGTTTCCTCCTTGGCCCATGCTGTTAGATAAGGACAAGGACTAATCAGCAACAAAACAGTACTCTTCCACAAGCTAGCCTGTACACACGGTTCACACAAACATGGATTTTCTATCTTCGCTCGTTCCTGCCTGCTTATAATCTCATAGGGACCCTTAACGTTGTTCCAAAAGAAAACCAGTCGAACTTTAGTCCCCGCTTTAAATTTGAGACTCCCCCATTTCACCATAAGACCATTGCTACAGATGTAAGGTTTGCCCTGCCAACTAAGCGTATGTTGTTTCCAACTGTTTTTACCGATCTGTGACTCAAGAACAACGTGCAGATCCTTCCCCATAATGTCCCTGGAACCAGTTTTGTAAATTTTCATGTTGAAGTTGTTGAATTTGTTGAGTTTGTTGAAGTCCTTGTTGATGGGCGTGATCTCCAGGTACACCATGATACATTTCCACACATGAAACTCTATCCTCCGCTCGGTGGATACAAAGTCAATTATCCCAAACGGGTCGCTGATGCCAAAAACATTCTCTGATAAGTCCATGGAGCCCAGCTTGGAGCAGCACTTGTCTATATTTATCTGCTTGAGTCCCTTTAAAAACAGGGAGAAGTTTTTGTAGACACAAGTAAATTTGGGGGATACATGTGCCCATTCGTTCCAATCTGTAATCTTTTCTATCATCTCAAAATCTTTGGAAGAGAAGTCTTCTGGAAGTAAATTCTTTTGTTTGAGCAGTGACAGGCCCTCGTGTAGCATGTAGCAACTTGAAAAGCAAGAAGATCGGAAAAGATCGTCCATAGATTTTGGTGGCTGAAATGAGACTTCATCATCATTTGTATAATTTGAAATCCTCCACGGTGCAAATTCCAACTTCTTGACTCTGATATAACGGGAGCTCGATAGTATGTTACACAGTGACCAGCGATCTTCAGAAAAGTCTATCTTCGACATCCTATTCGCCGGCATCATTTTAAGGATGTCGGTAGCAGCGGCCTTCATACTATCCGAAAAAGCTTTTGACTCGGACACTATATCAGATAGATCGTCTGATTGTCTGGACTGCCAAGGAGTTTGTGCTGATATTCTGGGGTCATCATCATAAAGCATATTAGATTTCTGACGAATTGGGGAAGCCATCTCCTTCAACGACCTCTTCGAGTTCCTTAGACGATCTCGCTCAAAACGCTTCTGTCGCTCCTGTCGCTCCTGTCGCTCCTTCCCATGTGCTATGTAATCGTTATCACGTTCATATCTCCGTTTCCAAGCAGCAGAATCGTCAAAGTCACGATGGAGCTCAATTGGTGGCGTATTGGTAGCTTTTGCAAGATTGTGATTTCCCAAATATTCATAGACATCAGGTTTTATTGGCGAACTTTGGTAAGATGACGAACTACTAGGACCAAGATTCTTCTCAGTTGAATTTACTATTGTTGGCAAAGTGACATCAGGTTGACTAACATGACGTTCGTTCACAGAAGACTTTCCAGATTTTGATTTATCTGTTGTATGAGATTCGACAGTTAGTTTCTCAGCATGCTTCATTGTACAGATAGACTCCTTTTGGGAAGAAGTCAGTGCTTTGTCAGTTTTTTCATCGTCCAGTTTACTGACTGATTTCATGCACACATGACTCTGTTTAACGGGAGGCTTGGCAGTAGACTCTTTTTCACAAGATGACGACTTTTTCGGAATAAGCTTGTCAGTAGATTTACTTGTGGATGCTGGCTCAGTACGATTCAAGAGGTCTTTGGACGGTTTTCTTTGTGATAGTAAATCGTTACCAAATTGATGGACATCTGGAGAGCGTTTTTTTGACTTTCTCTTAAGGGCAGGCTTTTCCTTAATTTGTTTATAATAATTTACAGAGAATTTCTTGAATGTTGGTTTGTCCAATGAGGATTGGTTGGTGTCAGAACACAAACTTTCTGAGCAAGTTTTCAAGGCTTCAGGCATTTTTAGAGGAGTTTGTTCAAGAGGTTTATTTATTGTATCAACAGCAACTGTTGCGCAATCTGGGAGTTTCACTGATAGATTTACATCAGCTTCTTTTTTATGCTTATGTACCATCTTTGGAACGAGTTGTTCCGGTTTATGGATCAAACTCTCCATTGATTGGCCACAAGTTTCTGGTAGAATATCAGAGGGAGATGCAGTTGTGGATACAGCAACATTTCTAACATCATCCACTTGACTTCTTATATTATCTGACTGATGAATCTCCAAAGGAAATCTTTGGATGAACTTGTTATACTGAGAATTCAAAGTCTTGGCAATTTCTATCGAAACTTTTCCCTGATCTTTTGACAGAAGATCATAAAACTGAAGAACAATATCTGGTAATTTGGGATTGACAGTACAGGAAAGGTCGAAGTTTCTTAGGAAACGAATTGATACATCATCGAGGATGTGGTCATTAGAAATTATATTTTCCTTTACATGGAGCAAAAGAAAAGTGGCATCACTTTTGCAAATCTGACAAATCAACCAAATTTGATCTTCTGAGAGGCAATTGTAACCAATCAGCTCGATGTACGGTCGCACGAATACCGTAAATACTATTTTAATTCCATTAAGTTTCACGATGAAAGAATCGATGAATTCTTGGCGTTTGAATTTACTTTTTAAGAATCTAGCCTCCTCCACAATAAAATGAAGTTCTTCAAAATCTTGCCATCCAGTTGAGTGTAACAATTCTATTAGATAAGAATCACAATTGCCTATCATCCATTGGACCTTGAAGACATGACAAAGTTTACAAATTTCCCTAAAGTTGCTCATACCCAGCTCTATTTTACCAGAGTACAAGCTGGTTATAAACTGTCTAACGTTTACCCGCTCAAAGTCTTTAATTTGGTGAACTGTGAGCTGACGCTTGGAGAAAAAGTCGTCAAACAGTTGGCTGCTGAGAGCCAAAACCACTGAATTAGCAAGTATTTTATCACCCTCTTTTAGCCGTATTTCAACATTGTTATGCAAACTCATTTGCAGTCTTTCAACTCCGAAGTTAAAGGGAAGGTCGATAGAAGAAACTGAAACTGGGGATGAATCACCAATAAACTGAAGAAGCTCACTATCATAAGCGTTCATTGACAATTCACATTTAGAATTATTCTGTGATAAATATTGCAAACATTCTGAAGCTATCCATGGGATACGGAACAAGTATGCTAACTTATAAACGTCTTTAAAAGATTCAGAGTTTAACTCGATACGACCGGAACATAGAGCCTTCTTGAATACATTCACCCCTGTCCTGGTCAAGGGAGAGTCATCACCACAACTGTCCATGTCCTTAAAATTTAAAATGGGAGAGGAATTTCCAAACATTTGATCAAACTCAGGGCTATTCAATGACAGAAGAAGAGAACTGAACTTGACTTCTCCAGTTTGCAGTCTGAATGACATGTTGTTGTGCACTGTGGATTGGATAAACTTATCAAAGCTCTCATCTTCGCTACTAGCTGCCTCTTCCATGTCCTGAGATAAGAGCTGATTATGATATGTTAACTGTTATATGTAGTAGAAGTCCTAGATAATATACGAACTTTACGATATTTGAGATTTCATCACTCTGAATGTTTAATCATTGTATTTAGTTATTCAAACGAGTCAGCATATAATTGTTAGAATAAAAAAACCGTTTGAATCATAAATATTTCAATTTTCAACTCATTTCATATTACAGTTCTTTTACACATTATCTACATTCTATATATCTCAATATTTACAAAAAATCCAAAAACGAATTATGATACATCTTTGACGACAAATCTGAATAATATCAACATTTAAAAATTGTACATAATACTTGTAGAACTCGTTAGCTAAATACTTAGATTATTTATAGATAAATTTGAAGTTTGTGAGAAGATCTAAACAAATTATATTCCAAAATATATCCACATGATAATACCCACTTCAAAAAATATTAAACCCAATTTATAGTTTTATAGATAGATAAGTTCTCTTGCAATCATGTCAGGACGATAATGTAAGCACAGGGTGGGCCAAAAGTCAGTACCCATACGTTGGGTCTTATACCTCCGCCGTCTTTTATATTTGAGAGTTATTACTTTTCAGATGGCATACTGTACCTACTTTTTCGAGGATTCCGTCGCCAAAATTTAAAAATTCGAATAATTTAGCCACGCCCATTCAATATTAAAACACCTATATTGTTCTCTCTGTTCAACATGTTGGACGCCTAATTTTTTCTGAGACTGTAGATTATTATATTTTGCATGTCAAACGGATTAGAAATGACGAAGTTACCAAGCGATTTGTGTATCTCGTTAGCAAAATTGATTGGGTGATTATGTGACACCGTGACACGACACCTTAATTGGGCAGCCTTAACGATTCCAATAATGTTTAACGGGGTAGTTAACGGGGTCACCTTATCACGTGATTAGGTAAGCCAATCACCTGATCACACGTAATGAATAAACTTGTTATGCTTCGTATCTCGGTCATCTGAGAAGCTATAACTCTAATTTTTTCAGGACAAACGTAATTCGAATGGCCAAACACAATTCAATACAATTTAGCTTGATCCGATTATCCAAATTATCAAATAAATGCGAAAATGAATCTTCATTTGAAAAAAATGAACACGAATATTTTTCGAGTTGACAAATTCCTCGAACCAGTGGTGGTACTAAGTTATACCAGAAAGAATTATTTCAATTGGGCACTCAGTGACTGAGCTATAAAGGCCAACGCATGGGTACTGACTTTTGGCCCACCCTGTATTTATGAGGAACTGCAAATTGAAAAGGAGAATAAAATGACAGGCATGCACAATAATAATCATCAGTCAGTCTGGACAGAACAATATCGAAAATTGATAAAAATTCATGCAAAATTTGAACTGTTTGATGTACAATAAATGATTTCGAGAAGTATATGATTTTAAAAGCCCTGAAAAATAAATATCTGGTCTTATAAACATTAACAAAATCTTTAAACAGTTTTTTCAAGGGCTTACATAATATAACACAACATAATGTCTAAATATGTTGATATCCAAAATGATATATAATATTTAAACTCGTATTACTATTATCTAACATAAATTTGTAAATTAATAAATCAAATTTCAAAATCTGTCTAGGTACTTTCAACTTTATCAAGATAATTAGTAATTACAGACAGCATAATTATTATCTAAGTAAAATGAGACAATGCTGCGAAATAAACATTTTATAAATCTGACTTTTATATCTGACTTTTACATAACGTTTTTGTTTAAAATTCAAATACTAAGATTGAGCTTTATAACGAATAGCTTGCATTATACCGACTTGCTTCAAAAAGGTCACGCTTTTTAACAAATCGTTGTTACCAGTGAGCATTATTAACTTGAGCAGCCCCCATGACAAAGTAAGAGTGGCTAGCATACATCTTCAAGTTGGAGTCTATGTCCACCCACTCCACATGACCCGCATCATCACCAGCTTGAAGTTTGAACTTGTGGAAAGTACCTTTGTGGTCATGGTAGTTAACTGCCACAGTCTCCATCCAGGCGTTGTCAGTGTTCCGTGGATCATCCACATATCCCTTGTAAAGCACGTTCCCCTTCTTAAACAGCTCCTTCACTTGCTTACCCACTTCAGCTTGCTGTTTCTTGTCCATCGTCATCGTGTTCAGAGCTTCCTCTCCAAACTCTTTCTTGAGAGTAGCGCTTACACTGTCACCAGCTTCCACCATCCCACCTGGTATTGCCCACTCGCCAGTGTCAAGACGCTTGATTGAGACAAACTGAAGAGTTGGCTTCTTTGTTTTGGGATCCATAACTTGTTCACCTTTGTCATCATGTTTCCATCTGGTGACCACAGGATCGGCTGCATGGTTTGGTCCCCACTTTCCAAGGAGTCCTCTTCCAGTGAGTCCAGTTCTACCGGTAATGTTGAGCGGCAGTCCGTCAACTACCTGGTACTCCCCAACATGGGACTTTCTGTTGACCTTACCATCAACTTTGTTAAACTTCAAGACAACTTTCTTATCCGTCTCAATATTGGGGTCAGCCCAGACAGGTTTGCTCAACACTCTGGGAGAATTGAAATGAACAGGTTTGTAGTCCTTGAACTCGACACTCCACGGGACTTTGTCATCAGGTACCTTACTTCTCTCTGGACCATCCATGTATTTAGAGTTACGACATCTCGCATTGCTCACATTCTGTGGCAGAGTGGCAGTTTTTCGTTCTTTTGCGTTGGTCATCACCTGCGATTTATGCTAGTTAGAAATATTATAAATAAAACCATTATAATAGTTAATAAACGATTTTTTTAAAGAAGGTGTAAATAGCAAATTATTCGCAAATTATTTCCCAGATTAGGATACACAGCCCGATAATTTCTTGGAAATCAACATTCATGTTTCGATTTTAAAACAGAAAAGAAACAATAAAACTATGCTCTAGAGCATGCATCAGAATTTGATATTGATTGCAAGATATCTAAAATGATACCCCAAGTAATGATAGCCAGCAAACAAATTATATAATCCATTTAAAATACACACACGAAAATAACCGTACACCACTCTAATGTGTAACCAGTGATACACCACACCAAAATAAACAGCGATTATGACTGACTAGATGGCATGCAGTCAGTACATTAATAACGAGCACACGTACGAATAAACAAATTAAACAATCAACACAAGTCTTTTCCGGCTTTCATTCATACAAATATCAGTAAACAATTTGCAACACTCAACATAATCATAATCAATCGTGCTAATGAAGGTTTTAGAGCAACTTTCAATCCAAGCAAATCAATATAATATCTTCAGGCAACAAATTGTTTATAATTGAATGCAAACTCATTGTGATATAATGCACTTGATGATATTAAAAACAAACAACATATTTATGTTCTGTGTATCTTACAAACGATAAACTATAAAAAGCATGTTATTATACAAAGCATGACTACTCAATTGTCTAAAAACTGTAAGTTTCAACACTAAAATATTAAAATATGCTGACTGCTGAGCTGCACTTGCGCTCCTACACAACCAAATACAAAATAGCTTGTGTAAATAATTTAGAGAAAAGGGTTGAACTGAACACTGAATATTATATAGTTATATAGCATGAATTAGATGCTAGACATAAAATATTTTCTAATTATAAAGTAACACTAACAACATTTTCAACTGACCAAATCTATAAGAACAACTGGAAAATTTAAAACACAGAAACCATTTTAACCCATGGTACGTGGCAAACATTTTTATTATGTAGCAACCATTTCATTTATGATTCCATCAATAGACGTATAGTGCTTGAAAATTTTATGTATAATTATAATAAGCAGTGTTCCTTTTAAATTTAAACATATTTTCAAACCTACTGATCTCGAGTTTCAGACTGGATGGATCAATAACAGTACTGGCAGGAAACGCTAAAGTTTGATACAACCAAAGGTAGTGAAAGGTATTGCAACTATTGTGAGGCTTAGAACAGATTTAGCACCAGAAGAGGGCATATCATTAATTTCATGTCTACCTTACCACCTTGATTACCAATGTGCATTGTTTGCTGTGGTAGCAGTTTCAATAAACTGTTTGTGATTTGCATACAACTTGATGCTGCTGTTAATAGCAATCCACGAGACCTCACCAGCATCATCACCAGCATGCAGCTTGAAGGAATCAAACGCATTAGAATCATCGTGAAAGTTTACAGCTACTGTTTCCATCCATGCATTATCTGTGTTCCTAGGATCATCTACATATCCTTTGTAAAGAGTGGACCCATGTGTGAATAGCTCATCAAGTGATTTCCTGACCTTGTTCTTCTTTTCTTCATCCATTTCCAAGGAGTTGAGAGCTTCTTCTCCAAACTCTTTCTTCAAGGTCAAGCTGACAGTGTCACCTGCTTCTACCATCCCACCCGGAATAGCCCATTCTCCAGTATCTTTGCGTTTAATACCAACAAATTCTAAAATTGGTTTCTTGCTTTTGGCATCCTTTACAACATTTTTATTAGCATCCAGCTTCCATCTGGTGACAACTGGGTCAGCAGCGTGATTTGGACCCCATTTACCAAGTAACCCTCTACCATGAATTCCAGTCCTTCCAACCGGATTCATTGGAAATCCATCTACAACATCATATGCTCCATAGTATGAGACCCTATTTACTTTTCCATCCTGATAGTTGAATTTCATATCATGTTTGGGTGAAGTTATATCTTTGTCTGCCCAAACAGGTCCTGCTGCTACAGGTGGGGCTGTGTAATTTATAGGGCTGTACTCTTTGAAGGGAACAGAGAGGGGGATTTTATCAACAGGAACATTTCCTCTCTGAGGGCCATTTAGATATTTACCACTGATACATGAGACATGGGTTGTCAACTTTTTCACTTGCATGGCCTGAAAGATATTTTCTTTGGTTAGATTTCGAATTCAATAAGGTTGTATCATAGCTATGTAGAATTCAAAGGAAACAAAAACAGTCAAACCCTGATTCACCTAACATTTATTGTGACATTCTCACTTGCCCAAAATTTACTATACACAGTTGTTAAGTGTTAATTTCAAAACTTGACTGGGAATTAGTAAAATTCTGCATTCCCCCAGAACATTTAATATATGCAGAATCCAACTAAACCAGGGTTTGGCTGTATTATCATCGAATTAAACCTCAAAAGACCTCAACAAACGACACAATATGATGCTTTCCCAAAAAACAGACATAAAAGACACAATAAAAGTCAATTAGTAAAAAGGGTTGCTGAAAAGAAAATAGCATGAAGCATGAGCTCAATGAGTGTTTGTCACCACTATACACAATACACAGTGCTATAAAAACCGTATTATAATCTATTGTGTTGTGTCACTATGAGAAATGGCACAAATATAAGAGAAAAGGCTTCATTTTTATTTTTAAAAGAACAAACACAATTACATTTTACAACTAGTATGATGCGGTTATTGTATGATACTCACTACTAATATAATCATGATGGCAGTAAACTTTAAGGGAAACAATAATATTATAATGCCCCTAGTCAAGTTTATTCAATATTCTCAGATGAAATTTATTATTTTGATTCAACCAAGGTGAATTCAAGCTAATTGGTCAGTGACTTATCGAATTTAAAGGTTCAAGTCTAAATTACGAAGCATCATAAGGAGCATTGAGGATCATGGAATAGTTTTACAATAAGTTGGGCAGCTTTAGCTCAGGCAGCTGCAAGATATTAGAGTATGCTGGGTTCATAAGAACAAAGCTACAAGATTCACAACACATGAAATTACACATAGCTGCAATTCCAACATTACCCGATTTGCATGTGATGAATAGCTTAACCGTGGAATGGGTGATGTCACTGCCCTGACTCCAAAGACTCTTCCCATAATAGCTGACACAATAGATCCCATATCTAATAATTTTTAAAGTAGGATGTCAAGCAAATTGTTAAAGCATTTGATAATGAAGATTTTTGTCAAATATCATTTAATATACAATGTTTGTACAATATTTACACTTAACTATTTAAGATTGTGGCGTCACAATCTTGAAATGTTACAGTCAAATGGACAGTACAACTACAACATAACTGGATACAGCTTTAAACTATCAAAGATAGTTTCTGATTTGTTATCTTCATGAATTTTGGCCTGTTCCTTTCAAAAAGGTCATGTACTGCAACTGCTGGCGCTGTGCTTCTTTATTCACAATATTCTTCTCAAAGCTTGATTTAGAACTTTTTAACTGTTTGTTCAAACGAAGTACCTCTCTTTGATTCTTTTGCAATTTCATTTCACAGTTTTCCTTGTCATTTCTAAGTAAACAAAACTCAGTCTCATATTTATTACATTTCAAAGATTCCTGAACTGCTTTTTCTCTCATCTCTAGATAAGCAGAATGAATTTTCTTCCGGTCATTTTCTGAAACCTGAAAATATCTCTCCAAATCAGCACCTGTAGATTGCAACTCTTTCTGACAAGATGATAATGCCTCTTTGGTATGTTCGTGCGATAGCCTTTCTTTTTCTAACACAGACTTTAATGACTGAATCTCTTTACTCATGTTCATAATTGCTTCATCTTTAATTATGATTCGTTCATTTAAACATTCAAGTCTGTCTTCTAATGTACTAGTAGTCTTCAAAGACGAATTTTCTAAATTCCTGATATCAGTTTCAAGTTTACCTTTCGTGACAATTAAATTATTGCTCAAAGCTTTCATTACTTTGGAGCTCATCTGTTCAATAAATCGACTCTCTTCATGTAATTTTTCAGATATGTACGCTTCAGTCTCAAAGAGAGAAATTTGGCCATTCTCTGGTATCATGATTCACCTGTGGAGTAAAAAGATATTAATAGTAATTATAATAAATTAATGTTATTTTTATACAGCACCAAAAAATTAAATAATTTAAATTTAACCCTTGTGCTCAGCTGTAAATGATACTTAAGGCCAGAGGGGGGGGGGGGGGTAAAAGTCGATTTTCCAGTTTTCACATATTTGATCAGAGCTGCTGGAGACGAACAAGAAGAAAAAAACCGGATCGAAATCTGACCTTGCGTTTTTAAGATATCGCGCGCCAAATATTGAGGTTTACATGTAATTAAACTTTACCCCATTTTTCGAAAAATGTCGAATTTGGGGTAAAGTTAGCCTCATATCTCGAGAACAGAGGCAAATATCAAAATTCTGTGCTATAGAATTGTGGGTGACAGCCCAAGGAACAACTGTGCCAAGTTTCAGCTTCTGGATGTGGCCAGTATTCTCAACTAAGGGACTTTTAACTTTTTACAGTTTAAGTTAAAGTTTTACATGTAATTACATGTAAAGTAAACCTCAATATTTGGCGCGCGATATCTTAAAAACGCAAGGTCAGATTTCGATCCGGTTTTTTTTTTCTTGTTTGTCTCCAGCAGCTCTGAACAAATATGTGAAAACTGGAAAATCGACTTTTACCCCCCCCCCCCCCCCCCCTCTGGCCTTAATTAACGAGATCGTGCATCTTCGCTTTGAACGGAGGTGAAACAAGAAACTGTTAAGAATTTAATAACTGCAAATTAAATCTTGACTAAATAAGGCAGATGCACCAAACAAGCAGATATCCAAGAAAGGTTAGTAGGTTTTCTAACAAAAAAAGGATGATGACTGCAAGAAATCTCAGTATGAAACTCATCAGCCTATCAAAATAATATTCAAGATAATAAAGATGGAATTCCCTAAAATATTAAAATTTCTATGAATATTCTATAGAACTCCAAATATACAAACAATGTGAAAACTCCATGATATAGATATACAATAAAAATTGATTGAAAAAAATTACTGCAGAACAGTACCTGATGATAAGTTATTTATGAAAATCCAATACAGTCATACCAAACAATCTGGGCAACATACAAGAAGAGACGTTGAAATAAACAGAGTGGGTGACGACGCTCTAGTACTTGAGACAAAATACAAAGAGTAAGGCACCTTTCTCCTGGGTGCCAACCCAAAAATTGTTGGTGTCCCACAGTGGGCTGTGAGTGGGGGTCATGCTAGCATAGGGTATTTTAGACCATCACACATGCCCCTAACTTTGTTTCTAAGGTAATTTGGGTACAAAAATACGATTCCAATCATTTGCAGGGCCGAAAATGTCTCAGAAAAATTTTTTGGGCCTTTTGAGCAATCTTGTAGTCCAAAAATAGGAGGCTGATCCCAGGAAAAGATGTTTTTCAAGAGGTTTAATCAATTTTAAAGCTCTTTTATGAACTGTAAACGAAGGACAGCTCTCTTAGGAACTCAAATCTTTTTGAATTATGAAAAGATATTGATCAGAACAAAAGTTGTGCCCATTTATATGACCAACATTTTCTGAAACACCAAAATTGTTCCTGTTATTTTCAAAAATTTCGTTTAAAATCACGATTTTTAGGATTTTTATCAATTTTAACTATAATAATTGTGATATTTTGATTTTTCATCCATAAGCATCTGGTCTAGGATGCAAAAAATGCCACAAACATGGAGAATTAGAATAACTAAAATATGTCAATTTAATAGCAAAATTGAGCTCATAAATTATCTAAAAATGCAGCAAATTTTACCCAATTTTTGAGTTTCATAATTTTTTAAACAGATATACCCCAAAGTACCCTAAAGTGATTCATATTGCATCTGATTGGGAATTGTCTAAGCTTTCTGATGATACCATGCATTATAGCGAACTATTGCAAACTAACAACGATTTCTGTCGTTAAATACCCCAAAAATTGCCTAAAATACACGCCATAAAAAAGGCGCGGTCAAAAATCAGGTGAAAATGTTAAAGTCACACAGTTTTTTAGATGGCTGAGTATTCTTAAGTACTATACTGTATTTCAATTATTAAAAACTGCCTTAATCAGGCATTTTAGCACAAAATAATAAATATTAGGCAATTTTTGGTTGAAAAATGCAAAATTTCTTGACAGTGAAAAATGCTATTTTTTCATGCGACGCCATTTTGGCATCTTACAAAGTTTTTAATTACGGTTTTTTGCATGAAATCGGGCTAGCTTTTTACAATAAGAAAAGCTTATTTTCAAAGAAATTTAAGTGTGTCCCAGGATAGAGCCTCCTTTTCTAACTTACACTACAATTATTATCTCAAATGTTGCCTGAAAATCCTTAAAAATTAAAAGCATAAAATAATTTAATTTAAAGCATAAAATTGACCAGCTGTATAATGTAAATTGAATAAATCTTCTAGTAATGTATAGTATTAGTCACTCAGTATATATCAAAGGACTTTCTAAACAGTTGAGCTTTTAGTTTTCCCTTAAAGTCCTTGATGTTTACACATATTAGATACCTAGATAAGTTATTTCCTCTCTTCACAGCATTGTGTTCATTGCAATAATATTTTTGATAAGATTCAATAAAAATTCACAGTACTATCAGTAAAACTCAGATTTCTAGGTATCTGGGATTCAAAGGAGAGGTTTGTCCAATGGCATAATCGTTGAGATAGATTTAAAATCAAAGTCTTAACAAAGGGACTTGGAGTGTAATAAACGACCAGGTTTCCCTAAATATTTATCCAATCAAACATTTAGGAGGCAAGGGTGTGTAATCCTAACGGTCTGCACTGTCCAATTTCGCATTACTATCACAATACACCCTGGATTCTTCTAAGTTCTATGTTCTACATTCAAGACGTATTTTTGTTCTACATTCAAGACGTATTTTTGTAGAAAGCATATGCCTTCTACTAGTGTAGCCACTCTTTAGCTACTCCAAGTCCCCTAATAAGACATTTAACCTAGGGTAAAGCACATCTCTCCTTAATATTTCCCTGATAGTAATTTGTAATTGTTCCTTACTGAACCCTGGACCAAATTTATCCGTTGTTTACAATAATGTCCATGGTTTCCTAAATACACGCGATTTAGCATCAGGAACACCACCACTAAATATGACCAAGATACATGAATTCCATGGTTATATCTACAAACATAAGCCTCACATCATTATTCTAAACGAGACATGGCTGAAAAATTCCATTCTCAGTAATGAGGTGCTCCCTGACAAATACAAAGTATTTAGGCTTGACCGATCCTTAAGATCGCATCCAGTGGATGCAACCCAGCCCAAGAAATTCAGAAAAAACGGTGGTGGTGTTCTGATTGCCCATAGTACAGACATTGATATCTCGAGTCTAAAGTTCTCTAAAGTTAGTGTTCAAGCTGAATTATTATCCATCATTATTAAGACTCAGTGTGGAAGAAACTTTTGTATATCAACATTTTATAGAGTAGGAACGCTTGGCTTAGATAATTTTGAATCTTTCAAGAAACATTTTGTTACTTTAGCATCTGCCAGAAAATTGCAAAGGCACATTCTGGTAGGTGACTTTAATTTGGCTTCGATTTCCTGGCCAGATGGTCAGTCATCTTGCCAGCTACATTCTAGCTTTGTAAATTTTCTCACTGATGACCTCGGACATACACAACTTATTAGCTCCCCTACTCACAAGTCAGGCAACACCTTAGATCTTGTGTTCACTAACATTCAAAACCTTATTAAGAATGTTAAAGTTTTAGATCAAAACGAAATGTGTATGTCCGACCACTTTTGTATCACATTTGACATTGATATTAAGACCAAGTATATTAAGCAGCCTAAAAGAAAGATCTTTAATTATAGTAAAGGTAATTTTAGGGGCCTGAATTCTGAGTTATTTAGCATCGATTGGGATAGTATATTTGAGTGTAATGATCCTTATCTTGCCTGGAGTCGATTCAGAGGAGTTCTCGGTGCAGCCTGTGACCGATGGATCCCTAAAAAGACCATTAAGTCTCAGTTCCAGCCCCCATGGTATGACTCCGAATGTGATCGTCTCCTACGAAATAAGGAGAAATGGAGAATAAGGCATAAGGGGAGCAACTCTGAGTCTCATAAACAAAAGTTTCGTGCATTTCGCACAAAATTTAAAAATTTGATGGACGAAAGAATGAGACTCAGTGTTGAGGAT